ACAGTCGGACGGCCTGCAGGCTAAGCCCTTGTTCTACACTAGTATGCCTTATTCTTTCATTATTTTTATATTGATTTTAAAATAGTCCTACATATAATTAGTTCTATATAATTTTGCTGATATTTTGTATATATTTTTTTGTGTTATTTATTCTGATTTTACTAAAACAATTGTTTTCATTGACATTAATTACTATCTTTGTTGAACTACTACATGAACAATTTTAGACATTTTTCATTTTCTATATTTTTTTAGTGCTGAACTTCTCATTTATCACCTTTAAAATTGTAGGATTATTTAAAACCAAAATACAAGGTAATCAATGATAGTTGAAGCCATATGTTAGCTAATGCAATTGTTTTTTTTCTCTGTTGGCACATTATACCTGCTGTCTACCAGGGGTCCAGTTATCATAACATCGCTATCCAGTGAATACTTCACAACACGAGTATGTTTTTATAGCCTCTCAAAAATCTTTTTTAAAGAGTTTTTTTAAAGAATTTAAAATCTCATGTACAAATTCTGTTAGAATATAATAAACTACAACCAGGAGGAAAGCTAATATTTATCTACTGTCGTTTAAAGGATGCTTAATAGTGCTGTGAAATTATAATACAAAACGATACTAATTGACTATTTAAAAAAGGAACCATGAGTGGTCAAAAATGTATTCCAAAAAAAAATATTATTATTATTTTATTATACCAAATTAAACTTTAAATAGAGGTTTTTTTATTCCTTGTTTCGCGTTCTTAATTTTTAAGATTATCGGAGGAGGGCAGAATAAAAATTAAATTTTGTTTTCTTATTTAGCAAGTATTTAGTTAGTTTTGACAAAATCATACAGATGGAGGAGAAAATAAAAATTAAACTTTATTGGTGAATGTAAAATAGGATGGTTAAATGCTTCAAATTTATATAATTAGGAAGAAATATGCATATCTTATCTTTGGAGGTTTCAAGGCAGCGGAGGGTGTAATAAAAGTAAAGAAAAACTTTTATTTTTGTCTGAAATTTCCACTTTTTTGTGGCGGTGGGTGCATTAATCGGCCAAAAATAGAATTGTATTTTTATTCGAAATCATCAATATTTGCAGTCGGCGGGTTCGCTAAAGAAGGTATGAAAAAAGTCTCGCCTTAAATTACTACAGTATTAGTTATTATAGAAGAAGGAATTGTGCTATTTCTTTGAGTATTAATGATAATGTAATATTCCAATACTTGTATGAAGAGCTCATGTTTAACATAAAGAAATTGTTAAGGCACAACAAGGGGCTCATTCCTTGACATTACACCTGTTCCATTCCAGGGTCATTGTATTTTACACACCTTTCTCTGTTCAGCCATGTTTTAACATTACATTGTATTCTGTTTGTTCTTAATGGGTTTCTATTCTTCTTATACATACTTGCTCCCTTGCCCAGTAAATGTTAGCTGATGTATTTCTTAAGATCACAACCTAAGTTCTGTATTGCTTGAAAATTGATAAATAAAGCACACTTTTTTTATAAGAACACATTTTATAAGAACACTGAGGTTGAAATTACTTAAAAATTAAGAACAGAATAACAAAATTGAAGCTGAGGTAAAATGTCAAATGAGATTTTTATTTTTTTTAAATGCTAAACCTCGCAAACCCCATCCAAACCCTGTGATAATGATTGAATCACATAGTATAGGACTCAACTTGGTATCTCAAAAAAAAAAAAATCATAATTTTATGTTCGTCACATCCTATTTTTGGGGTAAAAAGTCCATTTTTTGTATACACTTTTTTTTTTATAAGAACCAGTAAAATTTTGCTCAGGCTCAGTGTTCTTATTTTTTGGCCGATTTCAGGCTCAAAATGTTCTTATTTTGTTCTTATGTTACACACTTTTCAAACATAACAAATTATTATTGTACAGCAGTATCACTGTACTGGAATATAGGTAGGTAAAAAGTGGTCCTAGAAAAAATGGTCCCTGAAAAAAGACCCCTAAAAAAATGGCCAGAGAAAAAATGGCCCCAAATGACAGGTTGCACACTTACTGTACTGCATTATAGAGGGTATTACTTACCTACTGCACACAAGGTAGATCTAATTTTTTGTTGTTTTTTTACTTCAGCCTCAATTTGTTCTTATATTGTTCTTAATTTTAAAGCAATTTCAGCCTCAGTGTTCTTATATGTGTTGTTATAAAAAAAAAAAAAGTGGAAAAAATTGCTAAACCCTGCAAACCCCCCAAAACACAGTGCAAACCCCATCCAAACACTGTGATAGTGATTGAATCATGTAGTATAGGACTCACTTGGTATCTAAATAAAAAAAATTATAATGTTCCGTTCGTAACAACCTACTTTTTGGGTAAAAATGCCAAACAGTAACTGTTTCATCGATGATAAACCAAGTACAATGGATGTAAATTTGCTAATTGTTATATAATTTAACAGTTTTTATAGTCTTGAGTCATAGATTTTTGAGAAAATATATTTTGCATAATATTTAGCCTAAGGTTAAAAGCTGATGTGCGGACAATAATAACAACCACATTTATAGCATTCCAAGTTGTGTTTCCGTTTAAGAGATACTGTTTCTTTTAAAACGTGTGATGTAGAGGTTGAATGTTAGAGAAACAGCTGAATTGTACATTCTCTCATAGTAAATATAGTAGTAAAATCCAGATCATGTCTGATAATGTAGCTAAGATTGATCATAAAATTCACCCAAGGTCTATGATGGTTATTTAGAGTAACTCTCTCCCATCATAAATTTTACTTTGGAATTCCTTATCACCTTTGTGGTGTTACTTGGGCCTAGACCGCTTTTTGTTCTTTTATTTTGCATTCAGTTGGATTGAAATTCCAGAAGAAATTAATTATTGATAACGCAGAATAGATCAGAGCTGAGTTGTCCGCAAATATTTCTCTGTACACAAGAAATGCAAGCAAAATAAAATATGCTGTGATTCTCTGTGTGTAGTATAACTAACTATGAATTAGTTGTCACCATACATTGTATTTGTAATTTGTATACATTGTTATTGTTTAGTATTTCATGTTTTTAATCTTGATAATCATCATTATCAACTGTTTATGTGTGTTTATCTTTAATAATCAGTTGGTATGCTAATGGTTTATTACGTTAATAGTTTTTATTTAGCATTGAAACTTAAGCTTTAAAAGTACTTTAATATATTTTTTAGGAGGATGTTGCTTGTGTTCTAATGTCTAGTGGGCAAATGTGTTTGTTTTGGTAGTGCTCACCTGAAGTTCAGATTTATTGTCCAAACTAGTTGCTTTGGTTAAAATATAATTGTTCATTTGTTGAATTTTAGTCATTAAAATAATAAATTGTATAAATGATGACTATTTAAGTGCCGGTGATTTGACAAATGTATTTTCTTGAAAAGGGCCAAATAAATACCATCATAAACATCACATACTGTATTTATAATTATTCACTTTTAAATTTTGAATTCAGATGAATAATTTAATATTAATAATATAACCACCTGTCCAAACAACGTATAGTTGTCCAGATAAACAACTCCTTTCTTACTGTATATCTGAATATTTTAACAAAATCATTCAATCATCAAAGGTTAATAAACTAGGTGAAAGGGTTACTTAACAACATTGACTATTCCATTATTGCGAAAGGGATGTAGTAAAATACATTTTTTCTCATTTTTAATTGTATCCCAACTTCTAATTACAATTTTCATAATTATTTTCTGTAGACTATAGTGGTTCAATATTTTTATTGGAAATGGAATGATTTAATGGAAATCTTCAAGGTTTGTTTCGTATACGTCAACCTTAGGCCTTCCATGGTTTCAGGTTTAATAGTTTTCAAATGCAAATTGATATCAAATGAAAAATATTGGCAAAATAAAAGTAGAAATTTAAAATCTCTCTTCTTTTCCTTCTTGTTTTTAACCTTTTTTTCCTTTTCATCATTACTGTTTGTCCTTGTACACTTTTAATCAGGGGCTTAGCCAGAAAAATGGCCTATGCTTTGGAAGAATAAGATTAATGTTCATTATCAACTGGAGAATTAAGAAATGTTGCTTCTGTTTATTGATGATGCGATTAAAGACTGGATATTCCCTTATGTGGCATCATTAAGCAAATATTAATTATCCTTGTGCTATGATTGTCGCAGATATCAAACATTCATTATATCCAAGTGTCGGGAAAAAATAGTCCTAAAGTAAAATAGGAATGTGTTAAGCTTTAGTGACTCATGATTTTCTATATTTAGAAAATTTCATATTTTTTTTATTATTTTATTTTATTTATTTTTTATGTTTGTTTTTTATGTTTGTTTTTTATGTTTTTATGTTTGTTTTTTTATGTTTAGTTGGTTCGATCATTAATTTGTTCATTTATTTATTTATTTTCATTTGTTAAAAAAAACCTTAGAAGTACTTTTGACATTAAGGCCTGGTTCTCACGAGAGCCCTAGTATCCGGATTGGGAGCTAACCGTTAGTGCTTGCGTGAGAACGCCCGATTGGTTAGCGCTAACCATTAGCGGTATCTGGATACGCTAACGGTTAGCGGTAATTGGATACGCTAACGCTTAGCAAGCGCTATCGATTAGTAAGTTGAGGGCGTTTCTATCATCAACCAATCACACGTACGCGTTTAAAATTTCCAATTTTTAAATGGCCAGTGATTCGATCATCATATTGTTGGTATCCAGATTTTCTCGCATGGACGCACGGCAGCTAACGGTTAGCAGGATCCGGATCCTGCTAACCGTTAGCTGCCGTGTGAGAACATAGCCTCAGTAAAACTGTAAGGCTGAAACATCCTACTGTAAGCTTTGTCCATCCACACTATCAGATTTTATGTAACAAATTTATTTTTGATGTGTCCATATATGGGCATGATGATGTAATTTTACAAGGTACAGAATGTTAAATTCTATAAAAACCGGTGATTATCACAGTGATTATTATGAGAGCTTATGTTACATATGAAAGATCAAATTGTATTTTGTTTTATCCCCTAGATGACCTAACAATCTGTCGCTAACAGTTGGACTTGTGCATCCCCCTCTCCAGACCAATATGGATTCGGACACAACTATCCAGTCCGAGAAAAGCAACTACTCACGTAGGAATCGCGGTCGTCACAGGAACCATGACACCGATCGTGATGATGATAGTGATTATCATGGGAGACGAGGACGACGGTCACGTAATCATGAAAACTCAGACTATGAATCGTCGAGGAAAAGTAGGAGTATGAATAAAAGTGACCGTTCAGTGACCATCCAAACACCACCAAGGTCAGAGGGCGATGACCGAGAAGAGGTGCAGTATACAATGAAATTTTATTCTAGTATAGTATAATGATATAGTACTAAGGTGGAGTGGCCAAGCGGTAAGGCAGGGGCGTCGCTAACTACAGGCTTAACATTGGCGCTGGTTCCAGCTGCTCCTCACCCAGGGTTCAGTTGGTAAAACCAAGTCTTCTCTGATAAGGACTTAAAATGGCGGTCCAGTATATACATCTGGCTTGCGTGCACTTTAAAGAACCCATTGCATCTTTCGGAATAGTGGGGGGAGGGGGGTCACCCTGATGTTATGGTTCATTTCAACCACTTGTCGCTGTAGAATGATGAGAACATGTACAGTAGCTACTATAAGCGGCTCTAGATAGTCACAGACTACGCCTATATACAATTCAGCACAATGACGCTGTGAGTTATGTATTATTCTCCTACCTTTACCTTTACATACCAACAAGCCTGTCATTAATATTTAAACAAATGGTTTAAAATGTGATAGAGGATATCTTCATTTTCAACAGTTAAAGATGGATGAATGGGCAAAACACTCTTCCATGTACGTTTACAACTGCTTCTTACAATATTTCTGGTTAAATTCAATTTGGATACGAGGACGTCTGATTTTGGTTAGGCGAGACTTTTTTTATTCCTTGTTTTGCATACTTAGTTTTTTAAAGATTATCGGAGGAGGGCGGAATGAAAATAAAACTAAAATTTTGTTTTCTTATTTAGCAAATAATTTTGCCAAAATCATCCAGATGGAGGAGAAAATAAAAATAAAATTTTATTGGTGAATGTAAAATAGAATGTTTAAATGCTTCAAATTTATATAATTATGAAGAAATATACATCTTATCTTTAGAGATTTCAAGGCAGTGGAGGGCGTAATAAAAATTTTAAAAATACTTTTATTTTTTTCTGAAATTTCCACTTTATCGTACGGCGGGTGCGCTAATTGGCCAAAAATAAAATTTTATTTTTATTTGAAATCATTAATATTTGCAGTTAGCGGGTTCGCTAAACAAGGTATAAAAAGTGTCTTGCCTTATGAAACAAATATTTACTGTACAACTGACGTAATTTGTCTGGTAATTACATAGCAGAGTTTTGCTATTAGTGGTATGTGCTCTTTTTACGTTGGATGCATTAAACAGATTTTTACTCAATGTTCCAACATTGTCATCCTCTAATGGTACCCATAATATACCTTTAAATGAAGCGATATAAACTACAGTGATGTAAATAATGTAATTTGCCTATGGAATTTTAAATTCACTAGCCTTGAACATATGGTATGAGTCAGCTAATGACTTCAGAATAAACACATTGTTGATACCGTGTTAATAAGATATTTGTGAGATTTAATACAAAATAATGATATGATTATATATGATTTTTATAACAGAACTCACAATTTCTAACTTTCAAAATTTGATGTGCTTGAATGATTGTAAACAGATGTTCTATTAATTCTCTTCCTAAAAAATTGCAGATTTGAAAAAGAAAAGAAAAACAAGAGAAAATATGTCTTTAAAGATTGTTGTGTGATGAAGTTGAGGGTGATGGTGATCATGATGATCGAGATCGTAAGGTTGCCACACAATGATCATACAGTGACTCATTGTTGTTATTGGTCATAATGTTTGATTGGAAACAATGTGGATTGGCAATTAGATAAATATAGATAGATTCGATGAGTCATACGCTAATATTGCGAAGACGGCACAATTTGCGGTTGTTGCCATGGAGAGTTAATTCCCTTAGAAACAACAGTATTGATTCGATACATAGTGCCTACAGTATTGTTAAATATTAGTTATTAATGTTATGGTTATTATAATAATTACATTATAAATACTACCAACATGAGTTAAAAAATCTTGCATGAATTATGTTTATCAGAAATGTAATGATTTATAAATATTTATATATTAGTAAATCTTTTTTTTCCCCATTTTTTTTAGGTCATTGAAGTTCAGATTTTACCACAGGATGATAATTGGGGTGATAATACAACTGCCATCACTGGGACCTCTGACCGTTCCTCTGACGATGACCTCACACGCATTGCCAAAGGCATGGAAGACAGCATAGGCTTTGACTGCAATCGTTACTTTGGATACTTAATCGCCAGTTTATTGGGAATATTTGCATTCCTGTCACCAATCGCATTTGTTGTGATACCGCAGATTATGTGGAAAGATCAACTTCAATCATGTAATACATCATGCGAAGGCCTCTTCATTAGCATGTCGTTTAAGTTGCTCATACTAGCCATTGGAAGCTGGGCGCTGTTCTTTCGCAAACCAAAGTCCACTTTACCACGTATCTTTGTGTTCCGTATGACAGTAATGGGTCTCATATTTATATTTCTCATCACCTATTGGTTGTTTTACAGTGTACGGATTATAAACAACAAAGATGATGATTATTATGGCATTGTTCTGTACGCCGTCTCATTAGTTGATGCTCTAGTTTTCATACATTATGTCGCAGTGATTTTACTTGAACTGCGACAACTTCAAACTCTGTACACGCTTAAAGTTGTACGTTCTCCAGACGGTGTCAGTAAATTTTATTCCATCGGACAATTGAGCATCCAGCGAGCTGCTGCTTGGATTCTAGAACAGTATTACCGAGATTTTGGAATATACAATCCCCACCTTCTGCGTGTTCCAACCTCACGCATCGCAAAACGCCTTTCCAATTTTAAGTTTTACGATGTTGACGGTCCTGGTAATAACACAACAGAACGATCACGTGCTATTATGGCAGCGTCAGCGCACCAACGAGATGCTCGCCGTAACGAACGGTTTTACGAAGAAGAAGATTATGTACGTCGGGTTAAAAAGCGGCGTGCACGGCTGGAAGTTGCCGCTGAGGAAGCATTCATGCATATCAAACGTCTACACCAAGACAATGGTCATCATCAAATAATGAATCCAACCGAAGCAGCTCAGTCGATCTTCCCTTCATTGGCACGTGCTTTGCAAAAATACCTGCGTGTCACACGGCAACAGCCAAAGTGGTCTGTGGAGAAGATCATAGAACATTTGGCAACTTGTATTAGTTACAATTTGTCGTCAAAAGCGTTTCTAGAAGCATTTCTTCAGCCAGGTCCGTGTATTATTGAAGCAAAACGTCATGAAGCGAAATCGGAAACGTGGGAGCTTTTGTGTGATACTGTTGTCTCACGTCCTCTCAGATCAGATCACACATTCCAGTTGCGACAAGGCGAGGTCATGTTACAAGTCTTTGTGATGAAAACTCCGCATTTTAGAATGTTGGAAGAGGCATACGATTATAAGGACAATAAATTCACATTGCGCTTACAATCGGAGACCTCGGTTTAATCAAGTATTAATAAATTCAGAATTTATTGTTTATTTAAACATTACTGATGTTTGCTGCAGATATTTTGTCAATTGTTAATAAATGTAATTCAAATTTGAAATCATTATTCTATTGTTTTTAAATTAGAAAATATTGGTAGATTTATAACATACAAAATCTGCAAAAATGTAAGAAAATTCAACTTTGTAAATCTTGTAGAACTATGTAAAAACCATTTTGATAATAGATCATGCACTTGATTTTAAACTGTAAACAATTTTGGAGAAAAACAATTCTCACTATCAATTTTCATATCGATCAATAATTTTATCATTTTTTGATAATGTTAAAGTATAAGTTGTTGGTGTTTTAAATGGTAAGACTTCTGATCAATCAGGTTTGAATGTCTTTGATACAATAAATACAGAACTTTTAGATATCTGAAGTTATAATAAGATTATAGTTGAGATTGAAAAGTTTGTCTTAATTATAAATTAATTAAAATACAATGTTGGCTAATATACCCACCACTATTTTTGTATTTTTTAAAATTCATTAACAGACCTTATTCCATGTCAACTTAAATACAAAAAACTACAGTAATTGTTTGATGTGAGATCTTTGCCAGTTCCAAAAAAGAATAGAGAAAGGAATGGCTGTATATATTACGACTATATGCTGAATCTGACATATTATATTTTTCTCTTCATTATGAATTATTTACAATATTAAAAATGATTCCTTGAATAATAAAATTCTTTACCAGGTTTGCAATTGATTGCCCTGTTCCCTCCAAGATTTTAACTGAGTAACCATTTTTTTCAAACCACAGATAATACCCCTGGTGATATTATTTAAAGCGATCCTCACTCCCTTACCAAACCGAAGTCTTCCCCTTCCTCAATTTGAAGGTTATTATACCTTGTTTTATAAATCTATCACCCACCGATAAATATGATAAACTATTATTATTGTTATTATTATTGGTCTTTTAGCATATCCACCATTACAAAAATGGAAACCTATAGAGATATATCTTTATATCAGCATGACACCTCAAAATATTTTTCCCTCCTACAATATCATTTATTAGTCCGATTACTGAAGTGTTTCCATGACTACGTGGCATTGTTTATATGATTAGGTTTTGAGACCTGATGTGACAGCCTACATCTAACATGGCCATAGTATACAATATAAAGTTTTCTGTGACATTTTTATGTAATTTATACATGACTATGATGATGTCATGTCATTACACCAATATATAGGAAAATTACATGTATTTGTCACATAAAATTGGATAGTGTGAATGCAGCATAAATAAAATTTTATTTGACAAAAAATGTGACATGCCTAAATATGGTCATGATGACATCACATCATGACCATATATAGGCACATTGTGTCTATATATGGGCAAATCATATGTATGTCACATAAAATTTGATAGTGTTAATGCAGCTTAAATAATTTTCAAATTTTTATTTGACAAAAAAATGTATGACCAAATATAGTGAAGATGTGCCTATATATGGTCATGATATGATGTCATCATGACTATATTTAGGCATGTCACTATTTTTGTCAAATAAAATTGGATATTGTGGAAGGAGCACATATAGTAAATGCTCAAATAAGCGCCGCACCAGACGTAATTTTTTTCGTTAAGCGCCGCTCTTAAATAAGTGATGCAGCGCCGCTCTTAAATAAGTGATGCAGCGCCGCTCTTAAATAAGTTATGCAGCGGTTAATCGAGAGTATAAATGTTACCCTGTATGTAATGAAACAGGGTTTTAAATTCAATGTATGCAGTGTTAAAATGAAAAAATAACACAATGAAAACACAAGCATTTCCTTACAAATGTTTGTTTACGATGATAGGACCTATGATAGGCCTACTGAACTGCAGGAATACGTGATATATAGGTAACATGGGAATTCCACGCCAATATTTATTTTATAAGCGCCGCTCTCGATTAAGTGCTGCACTGAAGCCTCCAAAAAGTTTATAAGTGCCGCAGCGCTTATTCGGGCATTTACTGTAATCCTATTCTGAATAGAAAGATCAGTGATTGTATCATGGCCATAGAAATACTGTAGAGTAATAAACACAATAAAAACACAATCCTTTTAAAAGCCTTGCCAAAGCTTAAGTTATTTTAAGCACGAGATCCTCAGCAAAGGATTATTTTTACAGCAGTTGATAATCCTAAGAGGCCTTCATATTTTGTGTAAAAAAAAAAAAAAAAGAACCTTGTTTTTGTTAAGTACCAGATTATTTAATGCATTTTTTTTTTCAAATTCAAATTCTGCCTTAAGAAAGTTCTGAGAGCTTGTTGTCTATAGTGATCTTTCATTATGCTTTAGTTTTTCACATAACATATTTTTCGTTGAAGACTGCATATAAGATGGATTATTAGTAAATTGGTGCCAACTATATGATTAAAATGTAGTGTTTTAATTGTGATGTAAAAGTTAAATTATTTGAAACCAAATTTAATAACGTGCATAGACTGCCTATATTATATTTTTCTTCAGTATTTTCTTGAATAAAAATATTCTTGATATCACAGTTAGAAGAGATTAATTCTAATATATAAGCATAGAATATCTAATTTTGAATCTCTTTTTGTCCAGTAAAAGTATGTCCATTGTTCTACAGTACAGTACCAAGATTACGTCCAAAATATACTTTCAATCATAAAGAGATGGATTTTGGTATATCTGAGTTTTTGGAAATGTTGTTTGTCGATCCAGTTTTACCTGATTAATGAATAAATTCAATTCAATTCAGCACCATACTAATGATTGAATTTGATGAAAATTTCATGTTACTCTTCATTACAACAACAAGAGCAATGTAAAATTAATTTTATTTTTCCAAAGATTTCTGTCGATCAATATATCTTTCATAAATTAAAAAGAGTTTAAAGCACAGAGCCATCATGTATAAATTATTGCTTTTTTTTTCCTCAATGAAATTCCTATAATACTATACAGCATATGTGGAGAGGAGTACATTTCTATCATCAGTATCATTTGTATTAAACCCAGTTTTTATGACGATAATTTTTTTTTGTTTGAAAGTGTTTGTACAAAGAGGAAAAACCCAAACGATGTATATAACTTTTTTTTTAGATGAAGAATATTATTATAGATGTGTTTTTGATGTATTTACTGAAATTATTGTATGTTCGATAAAAGGAGTTTGAGGTACAGAGCAAAAGAAAGCACATATACATATGCATGTATTGTAAAGCAGTGTAAAAATGAATAAGTAGATCCTGTTAATGTTAACCCTGTTGTTAATGTGGGTATGTACAGGTAGTTCACATTACCCACCCACCATTAACCATGGGTGTATACCAATTGACTGTTTAACCTTAGGAAATCCCAACGAGGGGGGCAGGGTGATGTTAAGATCAGAAAGAATGTTCCATTAACCATTGGAGAATTTTATTTTGACATTACCATCAGTATAACCATCTGTCTCTTGACCATTTGGGACCTCTTGTACCCATAAAGGGTTTAAACAAATTTAGCCAACAATAAGTATACTGTAACTAGGTATATTTTGATGTGGTCTAATTAGAGTAAATAAATGCACCATGCAAACACCAGATGGATAGGTGTATAGGAAAGTTCCTTCCTTGTTTTTTCTACCAAAATTGCATAATTTCTTACTAAAGACTGTATCCATCCCCTAAACACTCATCTCCCAATCTTTATCCTGGATCCATCTGATATATTCTAAATTTGCGGATGGCTATTACAAGAGGCAGGCAATGGGCGAAACTGTTACATCACAGTATATCTAATTTCTGATGTATTCTTAAAAGTCTTGTTCTTATCTATCATTATGTACATTCTATTATTTTATAGAAATTATAAATTTTCAACGAATTTGAAAAAGATAAATCAGTAAAAAAAACGTCAGATCTTCCATTTTGAGTTGAAGATGTAACATACGTCACACTGTTTTCATGTACAAATTCCTCTTACCAGTAGTTTAGGATAATTTCTGTTCTCTTGAGTAAGAAATTCCAGCTAATCTTCATTCTGTTGATTGCTATGTTGTACATTGAATCAATTAAATGTATATGTTCGTGTAGAAGAGAATTTATTGCTTCTTCGTGTTGGTTTATCAGTTTTATAGTTTGCAATCTTGTTTTATGTTGTTGGAGAAGCGCCCTCTACCGGAAATGATGGTGAAGTCTTCAATTAGAACTCTGCTATGTTCTCATCATCTAAGGTGTGATATAATGTTGTGCATGTGATTGGCGGTTACTTCTTTAGATTTCTCGTCTTTTAAATTGCATTGATCTTTTATTCTGGATCTGTTTTATTTTACAACATTTTGATTGGCTTCTCGATTTTCAACAAGTCCTGTACAGACACTTTACATAGGCCTATATTTAAAGTCTCGCATTCTTCGTCCAGTATTCAAGATACAATACAATACTACAATATAGGCTATTTTCAGACGACTTACGCTAACGTATCGTTAATCGAGTGGTGTGAACTTGGGCGCGGTCAAAGAGTATAAATAGAACAAGAGAGCCAACAACGCTCATTGGGAGCGTAAAAAAACGATACGCTCTACGCAGATAGTGTAGGACGCCAACTAACGCTTGTATATGTTTTATTACCCAGTACTGCACCGCGCACTGTAGGTTTGTCTGTTTATCTGTTCTCCACAAGATACTGTGCTTTTGTTTTCTGCCAAAGATCTTATAAACACAAGATAGCGTTCTCCGGGATTTACGCGT